GTTAAAGATTTCAATGAATGTGTCCAAAGTTTAATGCTCAATGAATTATCATGGAAGGGAGACTACTATACTTGGACAAATAAACAGCAAGGTGGAGACAGGATATGGAGTAGAATTAATAGAGCTTTGGGAAATTCTGAGTGTATGGTACAATTTGGACATCTCACTACAGAGTATAAACTACCTCACATTTCAGATCATTCACCTATGATGATTAAAACAAAGTTGAAGGAGTGGAAGATTAAACCAGCTTTCAAGTTCTTTGATGTGTGGGCAGACCATGATAGGTTTTCTGATCTGGTAAAGGAGAGCTGGAAGAAAAAACTACATTCAAATAAGATGCAGAATATTTGGCTAAAACAGAAAGAATTAAAAGGTGGACTGAAAATGCTGAATGAAACATAATTCAAGGGAACTACCAGGAGGCTTGAGCAGATAAGAGAAGATCTAAAAGAGGTGCAACAACAGATGAGCAATCAGTATACAGATGCTTTAGCAGCAGAGGAGAAAAGAATCATAGACCAACTTGAAAAATGGTCCTTGATCGAGGAGAGTATTATGCAGCAAAAGGCACGAGCAAAGTGGATAAAACTTGGAGATGCTAACACTAGTTACTTTTTTGCAGCTATAAAGGACAGGAAACAAAAGAAGCAAATCAGTGAACTAGATTCATTGGATGGAAGAAAGTTAACTGATCCTCAAGATATAAAAGAAGAGATTATACAGTTCTACCAATCTCTTATGGGTACAGCTCTAACACAAGTTACAACAGTGAATAAGAAGATAATGAGAAGAGGTAGAAAGCTGAACCATGAGCAGCAGCTTCAACTATGTGAAGAGGTGACTGATCAAGAAATCTATGAAGGTTTATGCTCTATAGGAGATGACAAATCCCCAGGAGTATATGGCTATAATGCAGTGTTTTATAAGAGAGCTTGGTCAATAATCAAAGATGAAGTCATAACAGCAGTGAAGGAGTTCTTTGATACTGGGAGTCTGTTTAGGGGAATAAACTGTACAGCAGTTACTTTAATTCCAAAAGTAACAAATCCTACAACAATTAAAGAATATAGACCTATAGCATGTTGCACAGTGTTATACAAGATCATTGCAAAGATACTAGCAGGCAGAATCCAGAAAGTCATAGCAAGTGTTATCACTGAAACACAGGCTGGATTTGTACCTGGGAGGAAAGTGGCGGATAATGTGATCTTGGCTCATGAATTGGTACAAGCATATACTAGGAAACATATATCACCCAGATGTATGATAAAAGTAGACATTCAGAAAGCATATGACACAGTAGATTGGAGATTTTTGAGGCAGAATCTAGAAGAGCTGAATTTCCCAACAAAGTTCAATAATTGGGTGATGGAATGTGTATCAACAGTTAACTATTCCATAGTTATAAATGGGGAACCAACTAAACCATTTAATGCTGCAAGAGGTCTTAGGCAAGGGGATCCTATGTCACCCTTCCTATTTACAATAGTAATGGAATACTTAAGCAGGAGTCTAAATGAGTTGAGAGAAAAGAAGCAGTTCAAGTTTTATCCTAAATGTTCAAAGCTATGCATTACTCACCTGAGTTTTGCAGATGATTTGTTGATGTTTGCAAGAGGAGATACTATGTCAGTAAGACTGTTACATGAGAAATTTGCTCAATTCACAGAGGCATCAGGGTTAAAAGCAAATATGGCAAAAAGTGCAGTGTATTTTGGAGGAGTAACAGATCAAGTAAAGCAAGAGATTCTGCAAGAATTGAGATATGGACAAGGTGAACTCCCTTTCAGATATCTAGGGATACCACTGTCAACAAGAAAGCTGAAGATTATAGAATGGCAACCACTCATAACAAGGATCATTGCAAAGGTATCATCTTGGGTAGCTAAGAAATTATCATATGCTGGGCGTGTCCAATTGGTGAAGACCGTGCTGTTTGGTGTCCAATCTTATTGGGCACAAATGTTCATTATACCTGCTAAAGTTATGAATATTATTGAAGCCTACTGCAGAAACTATATATGGACAGGTACAAATGAATTGACAAGGAAGGCATTGGTGGCTTGGAGTAAAATGTGCTGTCCAAAGGCAGCAGGAGGACTTAATCTCATAAATTTGAAGTTATGGAACAAGGCATCAATAACCAAAACTTGTTGGGAGTTGCATAGTAAGAAGGACAGCCTGTGGATCAAATGGATCCATGAGTACTATATCAAAGGACAACAGTTAACTGATATGGTCATTTCTCAACAAGCGAGTTGGATGGTGAAGAAAATACTCAAGTCTCGAGAGTCACTAGAGCATGCAGAACAGATGGTACAAGGAAGAAAGAGCATAATAAAGGGAATATATATGTATATGATGGAAGATTTGCCAAGAGTATCATGGAAGAACATTATGTGCACAAATATAGCTCGACCAGAAGCTATTTTCATTATTTGGCTACAGCTACAAGATAGACTTTTCATTGCAAAAAGATTACAAAATGGGGACAACAGGTTGATATCACATGTCATTTGTGCAAAAAAGAAGAGGAGACAAGGGAACATCTATTTGCTGAATGTGAATTTAGCAGACTATGGAGCACTCTTATGAGTTGGATAAAAAGTGGCTGGCAAAAGGTGAAGACATGGAGACAAATGCAAGATCGGATAGAACAAAAGACGAAAGGAAAGACAAAGCAAGTGAGGCTATGAAGCTGATATATGCAGAGTTTGTGTATGCAATATGGATAGAAAGAAATGCCAGAATCTTCATGAAGAAGGAGAAATCCGGAGAATTACTTGCTAGAGATATTGCATATATTTGTTATGTACGAACAGATGAAGGACTACATGGATTGATGGAGAATAGATTTCCAAACTAGCAATATGATAGTAGTATAGGAGTATCTCAGTGAAATAGAGGTAGGAATTATGTACATGGGGCTGAGTTGTATAGCCTAGCTTTGTAAATACGATACTTGGTAATTAATGAAAATGATAGTTACCAAAAAAAAAAATACAAAAGTACTCTTCTTGTGGAGTCTACACAAATCATGGTAATTTCTAGATAAATTCCTCAAGGGAAAAAAAAATAGAAAATATTAGAAGTTTTCTCAATATAGAAAGGTAGTTTTCTTCGGCAAGACAAATAAAAAATTGTACTTAGCAAATTGGGACATAGGGACAAGATAACATGAGTAATTTTATGAAGAAGATTGGACAAACATAATTTTATTTTAGTAAAAGTATTTAACTATAATAAAACATATGTTTTGTATTCGCTCATTTGACATAAACACCAAACAAAAATAAGCTTTTTACAACAACAACGATGATCCAGTAAAATCCCATAAGTGGGGTCTGGGGAGGATAGTGTGTACGCAGACCTTACATCTACCCCGATGGGGTAGAGAGGCTGTTTCCGATAGACCCTCGGCTCAAGAAGACGATAAGACGAAAAGAGATAATATATCAATACCATCAACAAGAAAATCATAGAAATAATAACAACATCACAAGAACTAGTGGATAGATGGAAAGCAGAAATAATAACCAGTAAATAAGGCTCGATACTATGAAAATGGAAGAGTAGTGTAAACACAACACTGACCACTAGCAGTCTAAGATTAAATCCTATCAGCCTAGCCTCACAATGGTAGACTAAATATGCTTAACTACCTCCTAACCTACAACCTTAATGCTCGACCTCCACAACTTCCTATCGAGTGTCATGTCCTCGGAGATCTGAAGCCTCGCCATATCCCGCCTGATCACCTATCCCCAATACTTCTTAGGATGCCCCCTATCTCTCCTCGTACCCACCAATGTCAACCGCGCGCACCTCCTTACCGAGGCATCCAAGCTCCTCCTCTGTACGTGATCGAACCATCTGAGCCTCGCTTCCCGCATCTTGTCATCAATAGGAGCCATGCCCACCTTCTCCCGAATATCTCCATTCCTAATCTTATCCATCCTAGTGTGCTCGCACATCCACCTCAGCATCCTCATTTCTGCTACTTTCACTTATGGATATGTGAGTTCTTAACCGGCCAACACTCAGCCCCATACAACACGGTCGGTCTAACCACCGCTCTGTAAAACTTACCTTTGAGTAGCGGTGGCACTTTCTTATCACACAGGACTCCAGATGCTAACCTTCATTTCATCCACCCCACCCCTATACGATGTGTAACATCCTTGTTGATCTCCTCATCCTCCTGGATAACCGACCCAAGGTACTTGAAACTGCCTCTCTTGGAAATGACATGCGATCCAATTCTCACGTCCATGCCCGCTTCCCTCGGCTTGGCACTGAACTTGCATTTAAGATATTCCGTCTTCGTCCTGCTCAACTTGAAACCCTTAGACTCAAGGACCTATCTTTAAACCTCCAGCCTCTCGTTAACGACACTCCGCGTCTCATCAATCAGAACAATGTCATCAGCGAATAACATACACCATGGAATCTCTCCTTGAACATGGTGTGTCAGTGCGTCCATCACCAGAGCAAATAAGAATGGGCTGAGCGCAGTTCCTTGGTGTAACCTCATAACAACCGGAAAATGCTCAGAGTCGCCTCCCATTGTCCTAACCCGAGTTTTAGCTCCATCATACATGTCCTTAATTGCCTAATGTAAGCAACCGTCACACCTTTATCCTCTGGGCATCTCCAAAGAACTTCTCTAGGAACCTTGTCATACGCTTTCTCCATATCAATAAACACCATGTGCAGATCCTTCTTCCTATTGTTGCACTGTTCCACCAACCTCCTAATTACATTGAAATATATTGGAGTATATTACAATAAAACTTTTTTACAAGTTAACTCTGGAAATATGACATATGCTTATTTTCTTGTTATATGTCCGAATTTTCCTTTTGAAATTTCAGACTCCCTTTAAATTTTTCAATTTTTATTTGAAGAATTCTCTTTTCCTTCTAAGCTTTGGAGCATCCGAATATGGGCCTGACCTTTTAACTGGGCTTTGATTGCTTTTAATTAATTAAGCCCAAATATTCCTTCTCAGTTCTCCACTTTGCTGGGTATTTCTTCCCTCTGCAAAAGGATAAAAATTCCAGTTTCTTGCTCCTTTCCGAGCTCCCATATTCGTCGAGGTTAGCTCTGCTCTTTTTTCTCTGAAATTTTCCGTAATTGAATTGTAAATTTAAACTCTTGAAATGGTTCATTTTTATGTTTAAAAGAGATGGATACGGAGTGTTGCATGGATGTTTCTTTGGAGTCTAAAGTTTGTTCACACAAATATATACATAAAACTCCATTTGAAGTATACCCTTATCCTGTTTCCTCTTTTTTACTGAAAAGTTCACTTCTTTCTTAAATTTCCAATATTTCTGCTAGATATGTGTTGATGAAGTTGAATATTTTTTAGTGCTCTGTTCTTGAATACAGTAGACATTTGAAGGGTTTCTGCTCTATTTGGATTATGTACAATTTTCCAAGTTGGGGTTATCCTGGAAAGAATAGTGACGTGCTCCATATGTCCAAATTTATGTCTCATACTTTCCCTTTTACTCTTTCCCAAAAAAAAATGACATATTTTACCCTTAATGAGATAATTTACGGCCACACAAATTTCTATGGCTTGATAACCGAGAAATCCCCTAGGGCAAGTGACGCACCCTCTACCCTTGTTCGCTTAAATATAATGCTTCTGTCTGCAGCAGGGTTGAACTCGTAACGTGCGTCTAACCCACACATCATGCATTACGCTCTTGCCAATAAACCAAAGCCTTAGGGGCTAGTTGGTTTGACAAACTTTCCGCAGTCAATTTAACCAAAGAATTTTTGGATCACCATTAGATGTTTTTAATATAGTATATATGGTAGATTACTGATACCTGAAGTAGTAATTGGAAAGGTTTAATCTTTCCTTCTTTTCCTTTATGTTTAGGCAGTTTTTGAGTAAGCTTCCTATGGTTTTCTCTTTGAAATTAAGGATAGAGATTGAGAGATCCTTTTGCCTTTTTGGATGTTAAAGAATTTTGTATTTGTTTGTTTCAATACAAGAAATAGTCTCTAAAGCAAGAGTTGGTGTGTGCCAACAGCTTTCATTTGTTAAGAGGGGATGTCGAAAAGAGTATCTTTGTATAGATTGGGTTTTTCGGGCTTCATTAGTACAAGTGGATTTTGCTGTTGCATCAAGTCAAAAGAGTGGCATGTGCATTTCTTCCTCCCTCCTATCAAGCCTTCTCTATTACCTTAGATGTCACCCTCCATCTCTTAAAGCAGCGCAACTGACTGACTCTAAGATTCCTTCTGCTACTTGACATTTTTGCTATCTTTTTCCGCAACATTTGGACACCTATTTTAATGTCTTATGGAGTTTCCTCATTGATCGCAGTGCTAAACACTGTCATGAAGTACTTTGAAGTACTAATGCTTAATGAGAAGACTGTATTAGATAATATTACATGTCTTTTTGAACTACTTTCAGGCTCTCTTTTCTTTTTAGATTTAGAAACTGTCTGGCCTCTTTCATCTCCATTAAGCATTTTTTTTTAAAAAATGTAATGGCAGGGTACAAAAATTCAGAAGCATTTGCTGGAGTGCAGATGAAAACACAAATTTGAAGGGGTGACATGTAGAAGAATATCTGTGCAAGTTGTATGCCAGAGGCATATCTATAACCAGGATTATTATCGATATCTCCCCAAATTTCAATCGTCTGAAATAAGACATTCATAGAGAGTATTGGACCCATGAGCTCTATCTCATCATCTTGCTCTTTCCTCGCACTTACATCACCTCTTCATAGATCAAGACCATGTTTTAGTTTACAACAGGCTCGTAGTTGCTACAAACGATGTGCTTTCAATAATCATGGCAACATTACCAATTCTATCCATGTCCAATCAGCATCCCTTCATCCGTCCCGTAATTTGCAATCCTGCTGTAATGCTATTGCTCCATCAAGTGATGGAACGGTATCTGTAATTAATTTTGAAGATGTCATGGAAAAAGACTGGTCATTTCTTGAGTATCCAGATTCCAGTGAAGACCATAAGCAAAAAATCGATGAGATCATATCAGCAGGAGAGATCACAGAGACTTCTAACGTTATGATTGCAATTGGTTCTGAAGAATTTGTTGATAGAGTAGTTGATTCATCAAATTGTAGGCAATTGCTTGTTGTTCATGACTCCCTTTTCATGTTAGCATGCATCAAAGAAAAATATGATAAGGTTAAATGTTGGCAAGGAGAATTGATATATGTACCAGAGAAGTGGACCTCTTTTGACGTTATTTTTCTCTACTTCCTTCCTGCATTGCCGTTTGAGCTTGGTCAAATTATGGAAGCACTCAGAAAACGCTGTTTGCCAGGTGAATTTCAGTCATATTAGTAAACTTTGACTCTTATAATATATTGTGTACTTCATTTGATTTTATGTTTTTATCAAGACAAACTATCATCTTTGATTCTTTGTATAAATCTAACTTCTTTTCCTTTTTGAGAAAGGTAACAAGTTGTATGCCATTAGCACAAAGACAGTGCTAAGAGCCATATTTACAATTCACAAAAAGAGCACAAAAAGTTCCCTAATTCATCGTACAGGGATTCTATGATGTTTACAGTGATATGATGTTTAACAGTGATTCTACTTCTTCTCCAACTCCTCTTTACACCAAAAGTGAAATAGAAGCAAGCAATTCATCTTAATCTTCTGGATATTGTTGCCTATATCTTCAAAACATCATGAGTTTTTTTCTTTCCAGATGGTCAAACAAACACAAGCCGGAGCGGCACTCCAATATTTCTTTTGTCTGACCATACCTTCACAATTATTCCAACAAGCCAGGAGCTCTCCAGTTGATTTAGGCATGATCCACTTCAACCCTTTTATACTCAAAAAAGATTTGCCAAAGTTGATCTGTCATCCAACAATGCAAGAAAAGATGGCTATTACACTCAGCTTCCCTTCCACATAAAATAGCATCTAGAACAAAGCTGCATTCCCCTTCTCGTCAGATTCTCTTTGTGTTAGACAAGCATTCTTCACAGCCAGCCAAACAAAACATGCCACTTTGTATGGTATTTTCACCTTCTAGATGTGTTTCCAATGCCACAATCCGGCCTCATACCAATCTGTCTTCTTGATTCGTGATACCATGAAATTGCTCCAAAGTTTTGTAAAATTCTGCAAGCCTGTTAATCTCCCAGTCATTGATAAACCTTTTGAAGCTTAAATTCCACCCCTCTAGACTCCAGATTCAGCAACTTTTATATTTTGTTGATGAACCAGGTTGTATATATCAGGAAAAATCTCTTTAAGAGGTCCATGCCCAATCCACTTGTCATTCCAGAAGGAGGTCTTCACCCAATTTCCTACCTTAATTCTCACATTATTAATTAGGTAAGGCCATAAAGTTCTAATAGATCTCCATACACAAAAACCATAGGGTGTAGATACCACTTTGGAGCACCACTATCCCTTCTCCACAAAGCCTGTCCCTCCAACCTGAATCTCCAAAGCCATTTCATGAGTAAGCTCCTTTATGATACCTGATATTTCTTATGCCCAAACCCCCTTCTTTATTGCTGATGGTGAGAGTTTTCCACTTAACCAAGTGAAAACCTTTCTTTTCTCTGTTGCTATGCCATATAAAGTTCTTAGGGCATCATTTCTCTTTTCAATGTTAGATGCTAGTGGGAATAAGGACATCATGTAAGTGGGAAGAGAATCAAGCATGTTGTTTACCAAAATCACGAGTTTTTTTCTCACATCTTTCAAGCACCCCATTCCATATCTCTTGTGACTTGTTCTTTGATCCCAAAGGCATTAAGATAAATTGTCGGCAAACAACCCACTTCGCATCCTAAAGTGCCTGCCAGAGAGTGAATGTGTAGTACTTCATTTACCGGAAACAACAAACTTTTTCTCCAATTTACATGAAGGCCTGAGACAACCTAAAAATAGTGGGGATTACTCTCAGATGTCTCAGTTGCTCCACTTTGGCATCATAGCAGATTAATGAATCATCTGCATATAATAAATGGGTAACCTCCATAGTGCTTGTTGCATTATTAAGCACCTATAAAACCCCTAAGCCATCCATTCTGATTTGCCACTTTAATCTTGCTGTTAAGACCTTCCATTGCAATAATAAATAGAAATGGAGATAGTGGATCTCCATGTCTCAATCCCCTTTGAGATGGAAAGAAACCTTCCGGAGTGCCATTGATCAAAACAGAAAATCCGACTTTGCTTATACAGAAGAGAATCCATCTAATCCATTTGTTTCCAAACACCCATATCTTTTAGCACCTTTAATAGAAATTTCCAATTAACATGGTCGTAAGCTTTTTCAATTTATAGCTTACACAATATCCTTGGCAGCTTCCCTTTTATTGTAGAGTCCACATATTCATTAGCTATCAAGGCTGTGTCCATTATTTGTCTTCCTTTGATGAACGCCACTTGTTGTTGATCAGCCAATTTGTGTATCACCTTCTTTATCCTCTCTGTCAGAACTTTGGATATGATTTTATAAACACTACCAGTCAAGCTTATTGGTCTGAAGTCTCACAATTCCATGGCCCCAACCTTTTTAGGAATTAAAGCGAAGATTGCTTAATGGTGTTTAAATTCTCTAATAGTTGCTTTATTTTTCAGGTGCAAGAGTTGTGATTAGTCATCCACAAGGCAGACAAGTGGTCGAAGAGCAACGGAAACTATATCCTGACGTGGCAGTATCTAACTTGCCAGAGAAGATGATACTGCAAAATGTTGCTGCGGAGCATTCATTTGAAGTAGTCAAATTTACAGATGAACCTGGCTTCTATCTTGCTATTCTGAAATTCGAGCCAGAGAACAAGAACGAGTAGGCTCTTCTCTTAACTTCAGATCATCTGAGGAAAGAAGAAGCGGTACGAATTCTGTGCTAGAGAGCTTGAAACTTGAATTACATTACAAATTTCATTTGTTTCATCATCATTTCAGAACCTTAAATGCAAGTAATTATATATAAAAGACCAGTAAAGACCCTGGCGTTCCAGCTTTGGCAATCATCTTTGAATGCAAAATCTGATCCTTATTCATTGTTGCATTACAAGAGCAAGTCACTCTTGTGCTGTCAATCTAACTTCCGAGTAGACTGCATCTTGCTTTTCCTTTTTTTTTTTCAAGTTGGCATTAATAAAGTGCATCTTATCGTCATTGGTTTTTCTTATTTTTATATCAAATTATGGTAGACATGAAAGTAAACCATATGTCAGAATGAAGAACATTTCGAAGGATTTTAGGTGGCTCATCCAAAAGTTGGAAGCTGTTACCCTCCTATATGTGATTGACAAAGTTCCACTTATTTCAAGTTCTCTTTCCAACTCAACTATGATCCTGGTGAGCCTTGAGTTCACTGCAGATAGCCTTCAACCTTGGCCAAGTTCCTGAATAGAAATCAATTAGAGAATTCTGAACCCCATAAAAAAGTAACTGTCTAATAAATCTGCTGACAAACAACAAACAACTGGGCGTCACCTCCAAATAATTTGGGTTAGCTATACAAATCCTCACGGATCATGGCTCTCCATTTAAACTCATCTCAAGCTAATATTATAAATCTTTTCTTCTGTTGTGTCCCATCTTTCGCTAAGTCCGCATGTATTTCAAGTGATTGTGGTCTTTCGAGATAATTTTCTTCCATCTGATGGGAATATACTGGGTTTGTTGGCTCTCCATTTAAACTCATCTCAAGCTAATATTATAAATCTTTTCTTCTGTTGTGTCCCATCTTTCGCTAAGTCCGCATGTATTTCAAGTGATTGTGGTCTTTCGAGATAATTTTCTTCCATCTGATGGGAATATACTGGGTTTGTTGTTGTTGTGATGTTATATCCGTACATGACATGACTAAATCATCTCAGCTAACTTTTTTCATTTTAGGCTGAATAAATGTGGAGACACCTAGATTTGCCACGATGTTTCATTAGACACTTTAAGTAGGCTTTGTTCTGATCGAATACCTGTAGTAGGTCCAAAATTTATAAATCATACACATTTCGCTAACATGGTTGATAGCGTGAGTTGCATCATGTAGAATGCTCTTGGCTTGAGGTTTCCTGGTTGTGTTTTGCTAAAAAATGAACCACAGTAAGTAGGTTTTTCTAAGTGAAAATAGAGTAATTAAGAGATGAATGTATGTATGAATATACACTTATGCACCGAAAATACTCTTAGGACATCAGTAGAGTAGAGGATAATAAACCCGAGTATTATACAGGTGCAACTAACTCTATCAACCATGTCAGCAAAATATGTTTGATTGGTAAACTTTGGGCCTAATATAGGTGTTCAATCGGAACAAGGCCTACTTGAAGTGTTTAAATAAAAAATGGATTTTTTCATTCCTATACACTATTGGAAACTTTATTACCCTAAATGTTCATGTTTAGTAAATTACCCTACCTACACAAGTTTTGTTTACAAAATATATACATTCCACCTTAAAAGGCTCCCAATCCATTATTAGTGCCTTCAATTAAGGGATTTAGTTACACCCTTTTCCTTTTTTTTTCTCCTCTCTCCCCTCTTCTCTCCAGATTCTATCTTTCTCTTTCATTTTCTCGAATTCCTACAATACAACCCTCCAGACCATGTTCTTCTTTTTATAGGAAACAAATGAATATGAAACAAATTTTTACAACCCTCCAGATTACTGGACGACGAATTAGTTTTGCACTTCAATCTTATCCTCCAATGTCAAAAGATCTGCTAGGATATCATTGAAAGTGAAAACTTTAATTCTTTTATAGATGTGATAGTTCTATGTACATTATTCATGATATCTGGAAACTAAAGTTATTTTACTCATTTCTGACAGTGGTTTTTTTCAATTTCTACTCAAGTGGCATTCTTTTTTCTAATTACAGACACTAGTATAATTAAGTTTGGTTAAAGTAGTTAAATGCAGGTAAAAAGGAAGACAAATGCAACAGTATATCTTTTGTATCTAATTTATACATAGTAAAAATAAATTTCATACAACTAATTATATATTATAAAATTTATCTACAACTTTCACACATTATTTCTACCCAGTTAAAATACAACTTAAATACAAATTTTATACAATATGTCTTTTGTATATTTTGTATCTGATTTATACATAGTAAAAATAAATTTCATACAACTAATTATATATTATACAACTTATCTACAATTTTCGTACATTATTTCTACTCAGTTATATACAACTACAATATAATACCACTTAAATATAATTTTTATACAATGTTCAACTTTTATACAATAGTTAAATGAATAAAAGAAAAATAAATAAACAACAGAATACAAGTTTTCTACAATTTTTCTACAATTTCTGCAATATAATGTATGTCATGTCTTCTTCTTCTTCGACGAGTTTCAATCTGAAATTCAGCCAAAACAAAGTCTAGTCTTCACCAAAACCCCTCAAAATTGAGATATAAACTCCAAACCATATTCCCAATTATTTGCAACAACACCCAATCCAAACAAATAATGATTTTTGAAAACCCAAATTCGAATTCAAAGCTTCAAAGCTTTTTAATGGCTGTCAATGGTGGAATTGCTGCTCTCTTTTTCTTTGCTTTATATTACTGAAATTTGGGATTGAGAGATAGAGAGAGACGTAGAGAGAATTCTCAATTCTTTGCAACAACATCCAATCCAAACAAACAATGTCTTTTGAAAACCCAAATTCGAATTCAAAGCTTCAAAACTTTTTAATGGTTGTCAATGGTGGAGGGGTTACAGATTTTCGCTGGTTTTAGAAGAGGAAATAGTGGGTGATTGAAGAGGAAATCGTGGGGTGTGGTTTGATACGTGGGTGAGGGGGTGGGATTTGGAGAGAGAAACTTGGGGGGAGTGGGAATACACGGTAGAGTTAAATTAGGAGACTAATTAATACCATTAAAACCCCTAAAATGTACATAAATGGTAATTAGGTATATAAAAGGTAATTATATTAAAAGTTAAGCATGGAGGGTAATATAGTTTACTATATGGCATAGGAATGTAAAAATTCCAATAAAAAAAAGGAAAACTACCCGTTATGTCCATTTATAAGTAGCTTATTACGAAAAATTGACCAATTCATAAAATATTACTAATATTAGCCAAAAATTACCAATATTAGCCGATTAGCTATTTGTAGCTAAAAAGGGTTGCTTTCTTTTGAGAGGATACTATTAGAATAGATTGGGTACATCTTAAGGAGCTTGAATCTCAATTTTGGGATGATTTGGTGGAGTTTTGAGGTGGTTTGAATTGAAAATTCGAGGTAGAAGATTAACATTAGAAAAATTATATGTGTATCACATATGTATCATATTTGTATCAAATGTATATCACATATATATCCATGTATACTTTTGTGTGAGATACATGCCTGATACATGTTTGATGCATGTGTCGCAGAAGAAATTTTTGGCTAGAGGTTGGTAAGTTAGGACGTATTTGGAACATTCCTGTAAGATTCCCAATAAAAAATCATGGCAACTTTAGGTGTCTCCGTATGTATTCAGCATTCATTTTATCCTTGATATATGCTAGTTGCGCTTTTTGGAGAATGTGTTATTTTTTATCCAGTCAAATCTTGTATAATCGAACATCCATCTTAGCATCAGCATCATTACAACAATCATTTTGTGAATATGCTTTGATAGGCTCTTTTATCCTATACACGGGCGGCTTTAGGGTATGGCAAGCAAAGTCCTTGCCTTAGGCCCCCAAATATTTAAGGCCCCAAAAATAAGAAGCACTATTTAAATTATTATATAATATATAGTCCATTATTTATATTTATATAATTATTAATAAAAAAGATTATATTCTAATAGTTTTTAACATTTGGTAGACGTAAGATTGAGTGAGTAAATTGGATAAATTTTTTTCACTAAATTAAATAATATATTTACCTTCTTATTAATTTTATTTTTCTTCCTTTATGTATAGTCTTTTTTCATGATTCTTCTGATTTTACTTTCTAATTTCAACTCAAATTCTCTAAATTAACTATTCCTTTTTGTCACATTTGATTGATCCACATACCAGTAAGCAAGTTCTTTTGTGTCTCATCTTTTTTAACTAAGAAATCCCCGAGACAAATGTCGCAAGGTTCAAAACACGATGGATAATGGCTCACCCTTTACCATTTTCACTCAAGGGAAGAATTCATACCATATGACGTAGACATCATGAGTTGCACTCTCGCCACTAGATCAAAGTCATGTAGGTTTTTATTTTTGTGTCTCGATATTATATGGATTTTATAAAAGAAGTTTCAGGGTCTTTTTAATATATTTTGGTTTTAGGCCACCAGTTCTGTTGGGTCGCCCCTTATTGACGATCAAAAATTATTTACAGATGCCCCACCATGAACGTACTATTCAACCAGCGTCATTCACATTTGGTAACTGAATGACACACTCACTGCAATTAATGTTCTTGTCATTATTGTTTTATCTTAAGTGAGACTTTATAAATTTGATTGACAATATCAGGGGTGGACAAGTGACTCTAGTAGAAGACTAGTAAAGCCTTGATTTAGGTCCCCAAAAAACTTTTAATAATGAATTTTATAATTTTATTTCAAATTAGACAATATTAATGTTTGTAGAAAAAATAAAAAAGCACAAAAAAAATTGTAAAAAATAAAGAAAGGTGTCTACTCTTTAATAGTAAAAATATTTTTAAAACTTTGAATTAAACTACTTAAATTTTTATATTAGTAAATACATTTTTTACAACAATATCAAAGGTAACATGTTGCAAATACATGTCTAACATCTTATTTATTTAGATTATCCTTTTCTGATATAATTAGTAATATTAATCTACGAGTTAAAGATTTTATGCCATTTAAGAATATATACTATAAACAACAAGTATGAAAAAAAGGCAAGATTAATATTTTTTGCATATATGTGTGTGTACGTACTAATAAAAAAGTGTAAGGCCTCTTATTAAAATTTGGCTTTAGGCCAATAATTTTATGGAGTCGCCCTTGATCCTGTAACACCTTGATAGCATTTTTCCATTTCCACCATTCGACTATGATTAAGCAGCTTAACA